GTTTGAACCAAAAAAAAAAAAAAAAAAAAAAAGTTTTAATAGATTACAAAAAAACTCGATAATGTCACAACTGCCACACGAGAACTTTTTTACTTTAACGGAATAGTATACCAAACATCTGCATGATATGTTGAATAATTAATGAATTGATTCGATAAACCAATTTTTTTTTTTTTTCTGTTCTTACCCCAACCCCCAAAAAAAAATTAAAGTTTTTTTTTTTTGTTAACAAAAAAAAATCTATTATAAAGATAACCGCATGCATATAATCGATGGATAATGCAGTTCAATGTTTCGTCGCTTTGTGTATCCTTCTCCGTACCGTTAATACTCTTTGTCTGATGAAAAGCAATAAATGTGATAAAGATTTGATAATTATTAGATGTTGAATTAGCAATAATTCATCGAACCATTATATGATTTATATCAAGCTAATTAGAGAAATTCGATAATTTCTATTAATTTCTATGTAAATATTAGTAAATTAAATTTTAAGTCATTTAAAAATCGGATAACTTGTTAATCTTCTTGTTTTCTCTTAGTAAACATTTACCGCCGACATAACAAAAAGTACAAGAATATACATAAAATCGGTGTAATTTTCGAAACGGTATCTCATGCAATTACAGTTGGATGAGTGATACAGTATCAAACTATACAATATATTTAACAGTTGATTATGTGAGAATTTCTTGTTGTTATATTTATAAAGTAAAAATGTGAGGGTTTCACAAATAGATAAGATTTCTTTGTTGATTTTTTTGGAAAATCAGTGTCGCGAACTTTAAAGAAAAATTTCTATAGGGTATTATCTGCGAGTGGACAAAGACTCTCAAAAGTAAACACGAGGAAATAATTCCAAGTTAAACGAATAGTCATGTGGTGAAACTCTTTAAAAATAATATTTCGCGACATGATATTACAAATATATTAAGCTCCCAGGTAATCGTTTAATGGTTCATTTATTCTCTAAAAAAGAAAATTTAAAGTTAATAAATTTTCTTTGTCCCAAACCACAATTTTAAAAAACAGGTTTAATATTATCCATTTTTGAAAGACAAGTAATAACTGAAAACTTTGTAGGACAAATATGGACTAATTTGGAAGAATAACTAGAATAACTCTAAATTACAAGGCGCCATGTAAAAATGGAAACCCCCCGAAAAACGCGCAATATTCGTCATGTAAACTTTTGAGTCGGTATACACGTGACAGATATTGCGCGTTTTATTGTATAACTTTAAAAATTCGAAAGTTCTTTTATTGTAATAATTTTTTTTTTTCAATATAATTTAAACAAAGTAGGTTCCAAACGCGAAAGTCTCTTTTACGACTTACAAGATTCAATTATCATTACAATTTTTTTTTTTTAAACCGTATCACCCACGTATTTTTGTTATATTACATAACTACGTATAATTCTTCTAATATGATAAGCATTGATCTCCTTGATCTTTAGAAAATCAACAGACAATTGATAATCATCATAATCAATGTTTGAAAATTCGGTTGCCGAGATATTCTGATATTCTGATATATCTGATTATTCTGATATGCTGATTTGACGTAAGACTATAAATTAATTATGAAATATTACGAAATTTTTTTTTCAGAGTTACATCAATAGAAACAAAACAAGAACAATCTAAACAATTAACCTATAAAAAAAAAAAAAAAAAAATTATTAAATCAGAGTTACATCAATAGAAACAAAACAAGAACAATCTAAACAATTAACCTATTATAGGACTTTTAAAATCAGATAAATAAATAAATAAATAGATAAATTAAATTAGAATATTCTTATATTGACAGTTTTTATAATCATTTTTCATAAAAAAAATTATTTACTATTTAAATTTTTTTTTTCCTTCTTCTTATAGACTCGACGACTCGACGACTTATGACTTTTATTCATACATATATTCACATTTATTAAAAAAAAAATACTGTCATAATTATTTGAATTTCGATTACCAATCATTTACATTTCATTCATTTCATTAAAATTATATATTCGTATATCCGTAATTGACGAATAAAAGTATTAGAAAATTGTATTCCCAATGATAATCCTGAAAAATTCGCTTTTGATGATGATGATCTTGTTCTAAAACGGTGACGAAGTGATGACTGTCTCACCAAATTTCCAGCGTCAAAATTCTTCATTTGACATCACTTTCATAAATGGTAAATCATACATTTAATACATGCAAACACATATTATATAATGTAGAAAGTTTTATAAGATCATCAACAATCAACATCAATCAAGTTTCCTTGTCAAGTAATTGACAGGTTATTAATAATTAGTTTCTATTTATAATAAGGAAATCTATAAAAAGAATAATAAAAAAAATTGACGCTCTTAATTTTTGATTCTCATCCAAAATATTCCAATTTTAATTATTACAAACAATGAAAATCCTCTTTTTTTTTTTGATGATCCACCGATTACAGAACACGAGTTTTCTAAATTCCAATTTTGTTTAATTTTTTTATTTTGTTTATTACAAATATTTATTTATTTTTTTTTTTTTCTTTCAAATTCGGCACAACATTTTAGAAAAACTTATATATATATATATATATATATGTTATATATATATTACATATTATATTCTTTAGTATCATCATTATTCAATATATTTGCGTTAATATTGTCCTATTTGAAAATTTAGATCAAAATAATTATTTTCAAAATATGTAAACAATTTATAAATATTTTTCGTTAGTCGTTACCATTAATATTTGACTTATTCAAAATGACAAAAACACATACCGGAGATGACAACTCAAATCAAGAAAAAGAAGTATTCAGAATATATTTTTTAAAAGTAATTTCAAAATTAATTATAATTTAAGTAAAATTTATTTATTTATTATTTTGTAATAGTGAAATTAACATGACTAGGAAAATGGTAACCGTTATGAAGTCTGGAGCTTATCACGTTGGAAATGATATAATAACGTGAAAGGACAAAATTTATTTCGCATTTTTGGTATAAAATTTTACAAGAATAATAAAAATTCTAAAAACTTTACATCAAAAAATTTTAAAAATATTTAAAAATTATAATACGAAAGAGGTAAACCAACACATGGATTAATAGC